GTATTCTCAGGTCATCAGTAGACAGATACAGATGAAGCTTTTGAGAAGATGGAGCACATACAAGACTCATCTTTTGTTTTGATTACACTTTTGGTGTCTTACAAACCATACAGAACACGCTTGTATTACAATTACTATATTAATGCAATGGATGTTGTTGTTTGTCTTTACTATTATGCATTGTTGTAATACTGTACATTTTCGAAAAATTAACAATTTAGTTCCGTGACCTGCTGAACAGGTCAAAAAGGGCTAAAATGAATAAATTAGCCAGTTTTTTGGGTTTTTCTATTCAAAAGGTGAAAAAGTCAGGACTTTTTTATTCAAAAAATAAAATTTAGGACTTTATTAAAAATTTGCCCAAAATGTTGGGACTTTTCTGGAGATATCCCATTTTTTTGTGCAAATCAAATAATCTTTCCGTCCCATTTAACCAAAAATATCAACAGGGTCGTAGATTTATTTAAAGCGCTAATATGCCAATATACGAATACGGTAAGTCGTGTATAACATAAGTGCATAACATACATAACACATTTATGCCACCCACCTTCTAGATTAAAAAAAAACTTTATGCATTTTGGATTTTAGCAAATGGGACAGTCCCACACAAGTTGGAATGTATCTTTGATAATATCTGTCAAACATAAGTTGTAAATTGTTGTTGAAAATATACATCACTAGTGATATGGGCTTGCATGTGTTAAGGTTTTTTGACCGGTGCAAATCGGGCATAAAACCCGTATTTGTAACTGGTCCATAGAAGCTATCCTCAAGAACTCAACCAATCAGCATGTTCAAAAAGATAAGCATGGTCCGAACCGGTTTGGATAAAAATGGTTGGGCCGGAAAACAGACCAATTTGCCCCTCTACAGTCTACTCTACTCTTACCTAGATTTTGAGTCAATTGGGCCCAGTCTAATATTTCATACCGTTCAGACCGGCCCACCTACGGGAAAATGCTGTTAAAATCGCAGCGATTTTTTTCGGAGTGTCGGCCTTCGAGAAAACACTTCCACTCTTTCCAACAACCAGAAGGTTTCAATCCGCAGTCACCTCTTCTCCCCGGCGGTCGTCCATACGTTGCTCAGGTACACCTAAAATCACCGAAATTCCATCCACAGACCTAATTTTGGCATATGTTGATTGCTTCAATGTTTATTTATGACCACACTTAGATGTTCACTTAATTTAGGGTTAAGCAAAATCGAATTTATCCGCATTGAAATTCGCAACGATGAGAAATGTGATGGTATCTATGTGGTTTGTGATTAAACACTGTGTTAAATCTGCTTCTGGTGCTTAGAATTGTTTTATGGTAATTGCTAACTACGAAGTTTGATTGTATACTTATTAATTTGTTTTGAATTAATATGAATAGATAGTACTGGATGTGTTAGGTTGAAATGAACATTTTTTGACTTCAAAGTTGGAATCAACGTTAATTTGAGATTAACCCCTTGAAATAATTACTACAAATAACAGAATAGGGTTAATCAGTGACTTTCTTATCAATTTATGCAACGAAGTGCATTTATACAACATATATATACCTCTGTGTTTCACTTTTTACTGATTTTTGGACCAGTTCATGTAAGCAATTTGTTTAATCAATGTATAAACCTGTAAGTGCCTAAATTGGTAAAACAGTGTAACATAATTAAGTGTTTTACCCCTAACAGACTACGTGTCTTGGATTTTACCAAATTCCATGCTATACTTGCATATGGCATAACTGTGTTGAGGTGCAACATTAACCAATTTAGCTAGATTCTGTATATGATTTTGAGCTGAAACTGATGAGCTATAATCTCTTAGAAGTTCAGTTTCTTAAATCATTGGTGGCTTACTTCTTAATTTTAACAAAAATGGAGTTGGAGTTGTCCAAAGAAGGTTGTCAGATTGTTTTTAGGCTCTTGTTAGCGGTTGAGTGCTACATGATTCAGTTTTTCTGAATTATGCAGAGGACATCTTTAGAAGAATGTTTCCCATTTGTAGTGGCTCTATGAAAATACACACATATAAAGTTTTTATCTCTGGAAAGTTTAGTATTCAACTTATGGATTACTAGAAACTGCAGTTACAAGAAACTACAAATAGTAATGACAAAAGTTCTTGAACAGCCTTAGTTTACTGAAACTGCTTTTAAGTTTTAACCATCTCAAAGTGACAATCTCTTTATAATAATAATACTAATCTTAACTCTTAAGAAGCTCCTTTGTAATCGGAAGATCTAAAGTGTGTTATGTCCTTATGGGTTTCTTTTCCATGCAGTTTTGGGAACTATTAGCTGACCTTACAATGGATTTTGATGAATACGATTACTTGGAAAAAATGGTGGAAAATCCAGAACCACCAAAGTCAGATCAAAGAGCTAATGGAGGTGAAGAAACTGGTAAAAATGAAGATAAAGAACGAAGCCGAAGCTCTAGGCATAGAAGTGAGAAAAGCAGTGATGATCGTAGGTCAAAACGTGCAAAATCGGGTGAAGATTCCCGTGAACGTGAGAAAGAAAGAGGCTCTTCTCACCATCGTTCATCTCCAAAAGATGGGGATAGGAGTGATAGAGACAAACAAAGGGGTACCCGTGAAACCAGAGACAGGGATAGGGATAAAGATAGGAGCAGGGAGGACAGAAATGGAAAGGGTAGAGATAAAGACAGAGAAAGAGAAAGAGAAAGAGACAGAGGTGGTGATAGGGATAGGGAGAGGGACAGAGTGAGGGTAAAAAGGGAACATGGACGTGAACCTGAGAAAGAAAGGGAAGATAGAGATCAAGAGAAAGAGAAAGAACATGAAAGACCACATCGAAGTGGAAGCAGATCAGAAAGACATGGGAGTGAAAGGGACAGGGAAAAGAGCCGTGATAGAGAGGTTAAAGATAAAGAAAGAGAAAAAGAAAAAGAAAAAGAAAGGGAAATTAGAGAACCTGATCGTGATCGTGAAAGCAGGTATTTTTTTTTATGTTCTTATTCTCTCTTTACTTTCTGCTTGTATTGATAGTATGTGCTTTATGCTTTGTGGCGAGTATCTCTGCTTTCACTATTTACCTGTTTACCCTTGCTTCTCTTCTAACCTCCTTAAGTTAAGACATGATGATTAGTTCAATATTAGCAATATTCCTCCCTATTTTAATTGCAGCTTCTTTTGTTGTTTGGGAAGGGAATCTTTATTTCCTTGTCCGTGCATTCGTGGGTTGCTTAATGGTGTGTTTCTGCTAGTGGAAACATAGATTATGAATATTGAACATATGTTTTGAGAATAGAATATTAAACCCTAGATTCTGGGAACTCGCAGATGTGGTAGAGCAATCCTCAGATGGTCATTCTGGGTTCTAAGCCAGACTCATGGACTCGGGTTTAGGCTTTTACAAATCCGTATAAAAGATTGAAATTGCAAGATTGGGGGTTTGAACTTTGAAGTTGGTGGGCCTTTTGGCAGGGTGATGATGATGTCATGTTATGATTTTCATTATCCTCCACCTTTCCAGTAGCATCATCTTATTCGTATCTGTTCTGTTGCAGAAATGCTGTTATGGGAGTAGTGGGATTTGCTTTACAGAGGCTTTGCTTTTGGATATCAGTTCACTTGTCTACAAGAGCCGTTTTTTTTGCAGGATATTATATTGCCATGTGTTATATATATACTACATATAATAATTATTATTACATTTCAGGTCTAATACCACCAATAGCTCAAGTGCCACTTCATCTTTATTTATCTAAGTTTTGCCTTGACTTGCCTGTGCATTTTGTTACTGATTGTCCATGTTGTCAGGACCATGAAAGATTTGTTTTCCTATTTTTTCTTTCCCCATTCCATTGTTTTCTTTAACAATTTGTTTTTATATATGTGAACGAATCATAGGTGCTATAGATTTGGTTATTTAATCCTATATATCCTGTCCTAGAATCACATAAATAAAATGAGTTACAGTTATAGTATATAGCAACACAGGTCTATTAGTAGTTTAGGGCGTGTTTGGCTCGTGGATTCAATGGGAATCTGAAGGAATTGGAATCTTGAATTCTGTTGTGGGTTTTCTGGTTGCTAAACCAAGGGAATTGTATTCCAGGATATTTCTTTACAAGTCCAAGTTTGAGAGGTTTTGTCATTTCTTGGGGTGGGTGGTAGGGATTGAGTTCTATTTTTATTTTTATTTTTTCATTAAATGACCAAAACCAAATTTTCCTCACAAACCCATCAAAATGCAAACACATTCTTCAACATAATTTACATTCCAGTGTCTTTGATTGATTTACAAATTAAACAGAAATTAGCAAAGGATTGTGATTGAATTTCATTCCATTTTCATCCAACCAAACACTTGACGAATTCCAATTCTTTCAGATTCCAATTCCTTTGACATATTCCATTCCTTCCAAGTAGATTCTATGAATCAAATGGCCCCTTAGTTTCCTTGCAATATCAAAACCATAGATCCCAAAAACTATTGTTGCTTCATTCTTTTAAGTTATGACAGTGTTATTTTATGCTTAAAAAATTTTCATCTGTCTCCACTCTCCAATTGGGTGTCAAAATCATGATATACTTTATACCAGTTGTTCTTTGATTGTTGTTGTATGGAGATTAGGATACCCTTTGTGGCTTTAGTTTCATATTATTTGTATTACTGTGTGATGCCAGTCTCATGCTGCCCTTTGGAAATGTCTAATCATGAAATGAAAGCTGTTAGCAGGTTCAAACACTAATATTATCATGTCACCCTTATATCCACTGATGTTCCATCAAGTAAGCTTAGGTTCATTAGAAAAGGTACAAAACCTATCTTTTATTGTCACCTCAAAATCGAATTGAGTTACATAGTGGTGTATGCCTATTCTGTTGCTTTTAACTATTACTTTCTTCTCCAGGTTGCTTTTGAATATGCAAACAAAGAACTTAATATGTGGTTTACACAAATTGAAGAATAGTTCTTGCATTATAAATGCTTGCAAATAATGAATTAAGGATGAATTTCAAATGTTTTTTTTTTCAGGCGATATAAAGACAAAAAGGAAGGAGCAGTAGAGCCGGAGGTTGATCCTGAAAGAGATCAGCGCACTGTCTTTGCATATCAGGTAATATAACATGACTCTTATTTGATCATATTAAATGACTGTTTTGCCCCCTAACATCAACTCTTATGTGGTTCATTTCACATTCCCAATAAAATTACAGATATCTCTCAAGGCTGATGAAAGAGATGTTTATGAGTTCTTCTCAAGGGCTGGCAAGGTTGATTCTATAACCTCTTTTACTTTTTTTATACTTGCTTTTCTTTTATATTGAGTTAAATAGCAAGAAATAGCAAAGTACTTTAATTGATTTTCTTATTATAGTATCCTGCTTTCATTTCATCCTATCACAACATTGTATTTTGAAAAGACTACTCGATTATAGCAATGTCATTTTAATACAAAGCTATATTCAATGCCCTAATAAGAAAAAGAAAATGTATAGAAATTTCAAAACACAATGTCTAAATGTGAAAATTTCGAAAACGCAATAACTGTAATACGATAAATTGTGATTTCAGGTTCGAGATGTACGTCTTATTATGGACCGAAACTCAAGGCGCTCAAAAGGGGTTGGGTATGGTTTTCTGCTTTACAAATTACAATAATACCCTTTGTCCAGTTTCTCAATTCTTTCATAAAACGTTATATTCTACTCTTCACATTTTCAGGTACATTGAGTTTTATGATGCAATGTCTGTCCCTATGGCAATAGCACTATCTGGTCAACCTCTTCTTGGTCAACCGGTCATGGTCAAACCATCGGAAGCTGAAAAGAATCTTGTGCAGTCCACTGCAACAGCTGCTGGGGTTGCAGGCGGTGCAGCATACGCAGGGGGGGCTAGAAAGTTGTATGTTGGCAATCTTCATTACAACATGAAAGAAGATCAACTTCGCCAGGTATCTCCATCTTGTTTTTTTTTTTTTAGAAATTTCAGATATCACAAGATGTAAAATACTTAAATGTTTTTTTTTTTTAATTAAATATGTTGATAATCTGACTTTGTTTTCTTGTCAGGTATTTGAATCATTTGGTGTTGTAGAGCTGGTGCAATTGCCTACTGATGAGACTGGAAATTGTAAAGGTTTTGGTTTTATTCAGGTGAGTTTACTTTAACCATATATATAGATTTTAGATGCTGTTTTTTTTTTTTTTTTAATTGATTGAAAGGGTTAATAAGAACATGACTTATATTTTGTGTTGCTTTTCAGTTTGCACGTCTTGAAGATGCTAGAGCTGCACAGAGTTTAAATGGACAATTGGAGATTGCAGGTCGAATGATGAAGGTACAAATTTCTCATGTGATTGTGTTAAGATTAATCGTCTGGATGTTAGTGAATGACCATTTTACCCTTTCTGTTTGGAAGTGATGCTGAACAAGAACTGACTGTTTAATCAAGAACTTTTACAAACTGAAATTGTAAATGGCTGGTTATTTGATATAAATAATGATATACAATCACAATTATTTATTATCACAACATGATTAGTAACTTAAGTTGGACACAATATCAATAACAATTTAAATTTGACACACTATTTAACAAGTTAAAAAACAAATATTAAGTCTATCAAGTCAAAAAGAAGCATGCACTTAATCATGGAAGCTATATTTAGATGTTTCTTTCTGACTTAATGCAGAAAGAACACCTTAGCAGAAAAGTGTCAACTTTTTACAAGTTTGCCTTGAATAATTTTTTCTTTACATTTCTCCAAATCTGCTGTCATTTTCTCTAAAATTGTTTCAAACACTATTAATAATCTACTAATTTACAGGTGTCTGCCATTACTGATCAATCTGGAATGCAAGAAATGGGTGTAAATCCTGGTGATTTTGATGATGACGAAGGAGGTGGCCTGGTTAGTATTAGCACTCCTTCTTTGCCTTGTTGGAATTTATAAACATACATTTTTTTATTAGTAAAGAAATTGTTTATATCATAGATTTTCACAACAGTTTTATTTTCTCATATGGTTTTTAAATATGATTATCAGGTCCTTTTTATCTTTTCAACTTGTATCCGTTTATTTTCAGTCTTTGAATGCACGTTCTCGAGCACTTCTCATGCAGAAGTTGGATCGTAGTGGAAACACAACAAGGTGCAATACACTTTCCATCATAACTTTATGTTATATATCAAGGATAATTGCAAGAAATAACAAATTACTTTCACTTATTTGTGTGTTATAACATGCTACTTCCATTAAGATAGTACTTTGTAAAATCTACTTAATTATAGCAATGTAGTTTCATTTAGTTTTCTTATTGGAACATTTTACCTCTACAAAATCTACCCTATATAGCAATGAAAATGGCAATGTACTTTTTTTTTTATTTGTTTATTACAACACCTACTTTCATTTCTTTCTATTACAACATTGTACTTTTGCTTTTTTGAGCATCTTGAAAAATCTACCTAATTATAACACTTCACTTTTAATGTGTAGATTTTCGAAGTACATTGCTATTTCTTTCACTTAACACTTATGTATATGTACAGTGCACTTGGCATCCCGGCCAATAATAGCACAGGCCTAGCGCCAGCTGGCGTTCCTTTTTCTGGGCTTGCATCGATGCCTGGTGCTGTGCCACTGCAACTCCCACTCCCACCTGTTCCTGTTCCACCCATAGAGAGCATTGGTATCCCCAGTGAATGTCTGTTGCTGAAAAACATGTTTGATCCTGAGTTAGAGGTATTTTAATTTTAATCATAATTTATATAGTTCTATATGTTATATTAATATATAATGATAAAAATTTAATGGTTTTCTGTTTATTTTCAGGATGAGCCAGATTTTGATCTTGATATCAAGGATGACGTTCAATCTGAATGCGCAAAATACGGAAAGCTAAGACATATTTATGTCGAGAAGTAAGTTTCTTGTTAGTCTTTACTGCTAAATGCAACAAATAGCAATGTACTTTCACTATTTTTTTTGTCTTAAGGCATTTCTACTCGGTTATAGCATTCTACTTTCAATTTATTTCTTGTTAGGATATTATAGTTTGCAAAATCTACCTATTCATAGCATTGTATTAAGATGACTTTGCTATAACAAACCAATGAAAGTACATTGCTATTTCTTGCATTTAACCCTTCTTTTTATCATGCATGCCTAATAAAACTGAAGATGATTGTGTTTTCTTATCATCATCATCATCATCATCATCATCATCATCATCATCATCTAATACTTTTGTTGATTGGTGTTATTGATGAACATGAACAGGGAGAGTGCTGGATTTGTGTATTTACGTTTTGAGAATAGTCAATCTGCTGTAGCTGCTCAGCAAGCTCTTCATGGAAGATGGTTTGCTGGAAAGATGATCACTGCTACCTTTATGGTATTTCATTTTCTCCACTTATCACTCTCCTTTTTTTTTTCAATCAAGGCTAAAATACAGAAAAAAACACATCTATAATATTTATATTATATGTACTTTTCTTGATTTTTAACCTCTCAAGTATTTTTTTTGTAATGATTAAACCATATTATACTTCTTTTTAACACTTAAAAAAACATTTTCCCATTTTCCTGCTTTTGATATTACTGCTAAATACAAAAATAAAGAAAAACATAACATACTTATTTATACAAACAAGGTACGCTTTTTTTTTATCCAATCTATTCAACTTGTCAAAAAAATTTTAACCAATTTGGCTCAATAATGTACCTTGTACACATAACTTAGTTTAGTTTTTTTACACATATTAGCAACAAAATTGATACATTTATATCAATTATAATAATATAATTGTGACATGAAACAGAAACACCAAGTATTTTACAAGTTTCAGGTTATATATTGCTATTATCATTAATGAAATGCAAGTTCGTTGCTATTATAGATAAAATTATAAGTGTGTTTATTATGGGTATTAAAGCCCATTACTAACCAAATGTTTATAATCTTTGATAAAGGTGCCACAAAACTATGAGGCCAAATTTCCGGACAGCATCTAGGTGATTGAAAAGTTTTAAAACTGTTTTTCGTTGTAATTTAGATGTGGTTTTTAAAGTGTGTACAAGAACATTGTTTGGTATTTTGAGCAATTGCAGGCATTTGTGTTTTTTCTTTTATCATTTTAAGGAAAAACTTTGATGTATAATATTCTATTATGCATGTAGCATGATTCTTAATGCACTTTTATACATTTCTCGTTTTTTTATTTTTGATAATTAAGTTATTAAACTCATAGTTTTATGTTGAATATGTCGAGATATTTAAAAGTTTATGGTGTTGAAAACGTTTCCATAACTAATCACTAGTATGTGAGGATTTGGTGTTGAAATTATTTTGTTGTAGCCTTTTAGCAAGATGCAAAGGAGAGGGGTCGTTTTTACAGTTGGGTCTTCGGCAAATGAATTAAAGAAAACATTATGCGGTTTTGATATGAACGTGAGTTAGATGTAGTTATTGATGGTGTGTGTAGTTCCTTTGTTTAAAAAAAAAGAACGTCCTTTCATTGAATACTAGAGGAATATGTGAATTGGTGAAAATGAAATGGTTAAAATCCTTCTGTCGTGATAATAAAGTTCACTTTTTGGTTTTACAAGAAACCATGTTTGGTGTTTGAATTACATGGTAGTGCTTGTGGCGTATCATGAGGTATGTTTACTTTCAAAAAACAAGTTTTGTTGTGATAACAATTTTATTGCAAATTATGGTACGAGGTTGAACTGAGTCGGTGTGTGATATATTATTTTAATTTAATAATAAAATAACTAATTTAACATTACTAAAAATCTACAATCTTTAAACAAATATATTTGAACTTTATAATATATCAAGTTGTTTAATGTGATTCTGTACTATAACTTTTAGAGTAAATTACAGAAATGGTCATGTGTTTGTTATTTTGGACTTTGGTGCGGGGGTTCATCATGTGTTACAACATTATGCATTAGGGATGAAAGTGGGTCCAAACCCGGACCGGATGGACCCGGACCGGACCCGGAAAACCCGAAACCGGTTAACAGAAATTTGTAGAACTGGTTCCGGTTTGGTTCCGTGTACGGTACCGGGTAAAGTGGTTCTAGAACCGGAAAACCCAGAAACATCAAAGTGGATAGGTTGGAACCGGATAAAGTGGGTTTAGAACCGGAAATCCGAAAAAACCGGAATTTTTTGGCAATTACTTACTACTTAGTGGGTTGAACTTAAAAAATTTTCATATTGATATCCCGACTTCGGGAGACTGTAAGTCATTGAATATGAAACCAAAATTGACAAAATTATAGTCTAAAATCATGTGCAAACTCTAAACTACAAGTTGGAAAAAACCGTATGTCAATCCGACTTCAAACGAAATAGATATTCATGTTTTAAAACTTTCACAGAATACAAAAAAGCTGAAAAACTAAATACTTCCAGCTTTGATATCTCGACTTTGGGGGATTGTAAATCAATGAATATAAAACTAAAAATGATAAATTTATAGTCTAAAATCATGTACAAACTGTAAATTACACGTTGGAAAAAACCGTATGTCAATCCGAGTTAAAAAAATGAGATATGCATGTTTTAAACGTTTCATAAAAACCGGTTCCGACCCTAAAAGTGGTTCCAGTTCCTAACATCGGTTCCGGTGCTTAGACCCGGTTTACCCGGACCCGATGGACCCAAACCCGGATTACCCCAGAACCCGGATAAAGCCAATTTTTAAACCCGAAACCGGAACCGGTCCGATTCCGGTTCTAGTCCGGTTTTCCGGTTCTAAATCTATCCCTATTATGCACTACAAGTCCCACCCCTCCCTCTCTCTCTCTCTCTATATATATA